AAGCCTTTTAAAAAAAAAGAAGAAACAAGAACAGATGTCCTTGTCTTATTCCTGATCTTAGAGTGAAAGCATTCAGTATTTCACAGTTAAGTATGATGTTAGCTGAGGGTTTTTCACAGATGCCTTTTATCAGGTTGAAGAAGTTCCCTTCTGTTCCTAATTTGTTGAGTGTTTTTATTATCATAACGAGATACTACATTTTCTCAAATACTTTTTTTACATCTATTTATATATCTATGGTTTTTGTCCTTTATTCTTTTTTTTTTTTTTAGGTAGGCTCCACACCCAACATGGCACTTGAACTCATAACCCTGAGATCAAGAGTTGCACCCCCCAGGGCGCCTGGGTGGCTCAGTTGGTTAAGCGTCTGCCTTTGGCTCAGGTCATGATCTCAGGGTCCTGGGATCGAGCCCTGCATCGGGCTCCCTGCTCAGCGGGGAGCCTGCTTCTCCCTCTCCCTCTGCCTGCTGCTCCCCCTGCTTGCTCTGTCAAATAAATAAATAAAATCTTTTAAAAATTTAAAAGAAAAAGGAAGTGCACCCTCTACTGATTGAGGCAGTCAGGTGCCCCTGTCCTTTATTCTATTAATATGGTCTATCATATTAATTTTCAGATTTTAAAAGTTTTTATTTATTTAAGTAATCTCTACACCGAATGTGGGGCTCAAACTCAGACCCCAAGATCAAGAGTCACATGCTCTTCTGTGCCAGCCAGGCACCCCTTAATTTTCAGATTTTAAAGCAAATTGAATTCCTAAGATAAATACACATGGTTGTGGTATATAATTCTTTGTTGCTGGATTTGGGTTGTTAGTATTTTGCTGATGACTTTTATGTCTATATAAGAGATACTGGTCTGTAGTTTTCTTTTTTTTTTTTAAGATTTTATTTTATTTATTTGACAGAGAGAGACACAGCGAGACAGGGAACACAAGCAGGGGGAGTGGGAGAAGGAGAAGCAGTCTTCCCGCCGAGCAGGGAGCCCAATTTGGGGCTCGATCCCACTGGGATCATGACCCAAGCCGAAGGCAGACGTCTAACAACTGAGCCACCCAGGCACCCCGGTCTGTAGTTTTCTTTTCTTGTGATGTCTTTGTGTGGTGTTGGCCTCAAGATAATACTGGCCTCAAAGAATGAGCTGGTTAGTGTCCTCTCTTATTTTTTGTTTTGTTTTTTTTTAAGATTTTATTTTTTTGACAGAGAGAGACACAGCGAGAGAGGGAACACAAGCAGGGGGAGTGGGAGAGGGAGAAGCAGGCTTCCTGCTGAGCAGGGAGCCCCATGTGGGGCTCGATCCCAGGACCCTGGGATCATGACCTGAGCTGAAGGCAGACGCTTAACGACTGAGCCACCCAGGTGCCCCTCTCTCTTATTTTTTGTAAGAATTTTTGAGAAGAACTGGTATTAACTCTACTTTCTATGTTTGATAGAATCAACCAGTGAAGCCATCTGGACCTGGGTTTCTCTCTGTGAGTCATTTTTTATTACTAATTCAATCTCGTTTCCTGTTACGGCTCTATCCAGATTTCCTATTTCTTCCACTATCATTTTAACAACCACTTATGGTCTGTCAACCTCACGATGGCACAGGTAGTACCTTGCACTCCCAAATAGTGAAACTCTTGACTCACTCACCTGAACTACAATTCCTCTATTGCTGACAGGGAAACTGAGGTTATGTTACTTTTAACAATCTGTCCTGATTTGAGAGCCAAGCCTAAACTGAACTCCCTCACCCCGTTCTCAGATGCATTACTGGTTGCTAGAATTCTCCCCATATTTTCTCATGAACAAAGGTGGCTGCAAGTAAGCTGAGCAACAAGGTCATGTGCTCTGGTGACAAGGAAACGAGAAACCAGAGAAACACTTTCCACTCCCTTGAGGGATTTGATGAATTGTTCCATACCCCCTCCTGCCAGGCCTGTTCTCCTAGTCCAGCACATTTTCTATGTGACATTTGCAAGTTTTCCAAAGGTACCATATTTGTCAACCTCTTCTCATGTACTCAAAAATAATAAAGCAAAATAATGAGACTGCAGGCTGGAAGCAAATCCTCTACTTGTGTGTCACTGACAAATTTTTTAACCTTCCTGCACTTCAGTTTCTTACCCGTAATGTAGAGATGACAATATCTACCCCAAAGAGTTGTTACAAGTAAATAATACATGTACAAGTGTTGGAAAGAACACCCGGCACCTTTATGTACGATATCAAAGTAAACCATGCTGCCCACAAAACACACTTGATTTTACCCTCTAAAGTAGTTCCAGGTTGTTGGAATGTAGAAAGGAGTACCTTTTCTATACTGTCTGCACTGAATATAAGCTCTAAGAACTGAAATTACAAAGGAGATGACATGAGAATAATGTCTCCATTCTCAAGGAAATCAACCTGGCAGGAGAAACAATGGATGGGAGGAGGTAGAGAATCATAATTAAAAGCACAGTCTCTGGAATGTGATAGACCTATGTTCAAAATCTGACTCCACCTTATATTGGCTGTTACATTGAACAAGACACTTCTCTAAGCTTCTGTACTCATTGGTAAATGGGGAAAAATAATACTAACTCTAAGGAGTTTTGATGAGGACTAAGACAATACTTGTAAAGTACCTGGCACATAATAGCCACTGAATAAACAGAAACCACTTTGACTAGTTTTCTTAAATGTCATTTTAATGAACGAATGTCTTTAACAGGTAAACTAATATGGAAACAAGGACCTCACGTTGGTCCAGGGGTTCCCAATCCTGGCTATACATGTGACTCACCTGGAGAGCTTTAAAAAAGTAAGTTTGCCTACACTGCACCTAAGACAAATAGAATCACACTCTCTGAGGTTGGAGCCTGGACATCAGTTATTTTTATTTTATTTCATTTTTAAAAATATTTTATTTATTTCAGAGAGAGAGAGAGAGATCCCGCACATGCACACATGAGCGGGCGGGTGGGGGAGAGACAGTGGGGAGGGATAGACTCTCCAGCAGACTCGATGCTGAGCGCAGAGCCCAACGCAGGGCTCAAACCCACGACCCTGATAGCCTGACCTGAGCCAAAATCAAGAGTCTGATGCTTAACTAACTGAGCCACCCAGGCACCTCTGGACATCAGTATTTTTAAAGGCACTTCAGGTTAATTCCAATGTACAGCTGGGAGGACCATAACAGCTAGCCAGAAAAGAAGTCCCAATTTTTACCAACTGAAACTAATTTTATTAACATCTACTCTTCTTACAAAATAAGCCCATCAGATCTGCCCCCTTAAATGAGAACTACTATTATCTAATGATGAAATGGAAGCTAAGAGAATCTGAACAATTTATTTCTGGAAGAAGCAGAGAGCCAGGTTTAAGAGTCCAGTCAAGCCCTAAAGCCCATACCTCTTACTCAGATGCGTCTCTAACTACCATTATTTCCTCAGCATGACTGCAAACCTAGTCATGACATTCTCCTCATTAAAATCCTTTATAACACTTACCCCCTTACCCCCACTTACAAGCCCAGACTCCTTAACAGGAACACCTAACTTCAGAATCTGGCCCCACAGTGTGTGTGGTGAGGATGAGTCACGTACATTCAGATGGCTCTGGTGCCGGTCCAAACAGCCAAACCACCAAGCACCCAAGGAGACACCGTTCAAACTCAGGGGCCAGGCAACTTGGCCAACAGGGAACAGTGTTAGTACTAAAGAATGCAATAGGAATGGTGGCCCCTGAAATTGTGCAACATGGCAAGACGGCTGGCTCTGTTTTTCCTTCTAGCATCATCCCTCTCTGATCCCTTCTCTCACTTTATCACTTTAACACATGCTTTCCCCTCTGCATGGCACACTGGTTCCTAATTCTGCAGCCTTCAATGTAAATGTCACTTCCTGGAGGAAGTCTTCCCCAACCACCACCACTACCACACTGTCCCACTCCAGGTTCAACACGCCTCTGTGTCTCCTACAGCACCCCATGGTTCCCCCAGGAGAACTCTCACACCTTAGTGCTCCTGCGTGCAAGGACCATGCTGGTCTTGCTCACTAACTCCCATCACCTAGAAAGTACCTGATGTATAGTGGAGTGAGGAGGAGCCCAGAGGCAACACGGAGAAGCTACTCTGTAACTGTCTTACAAGAAAAAGTTATTCTCCGAACTCAGGTCTCTAACTGCACCTCTGGATGGTGAATTCTGTGCCCAATGCTAAAAACTGTTGAATCTGGGTGTTGCATATACGATCATGTATTCTTCCTATTTTTTAAATAAGTTTGCAATTTTTCATAAAAAGCTTTTAGGGAAAAAATAAAGTGAGTTCTGTCTCCATCCTTAATCCTGTCCTTCTTGCTATTATTTAGCCAAAGGATATGCATCAACAACCTGTCATAATCACTTTCCCAGCATCTGATAGCAGGGCCATCGGGCAAAGAATACAAACCTGTTGGCAGTATAAGAAAGTACTAAAGAACCCTAGGGTCAGCCAACAAAAAGCAAGAAGCTTCTGCCAACAGCCAGAAACTGGATTGCAACGAAATGCTGGGACTCCATCAATTTCCTTTTACAACCTTTCCTACAGGAGAACAGAATTGCTGTTCGGGTCTAAAAACAGAAAGAAGAAAATGATGCTCAAAAGAGTGAGCAAGCTGCAGAAGAGAGCACAGCGGTGATCTATTAAGTCAGGGGAGCTGTGTTATATAAATTCAGCTTGTTCAGGTGCGGGCCTAGAAGCCAAATCACCAACTGGCCAAGCATGCTCAATTCCAGCAGCTACCTAATGTGCACGAGAGAACACTGTTAACACTAAAGAAAAAGTCCCCAATCACGACAGCCATTCCCAAAGGACTGTGCACCATAAACGGTTCTCTCTAGAACACTCTGACAAGGATATTAACTTTTCAAGTTCAGTTGATGAAGAAAATAGAACCAAACCCCTCACTTTCTATCCCCTGTTCCCTCATGAACATTCCTGAGGCAAAGGACTGTGATGTCAGTGCAGCTGACCTAAGCTCTGACACTTGCCATTACCTCTTGCTGCTTCTCCTCATTGGGGTACGTGTCTACAAATACTCCCAGCCCCACAAATTTGTCCATGTTTCCAAACACAGGCCCTAGAGAGAGAGAACAGATGATGAACAATGAAATAAAGCCAAGAGTTGATAAAGGAATAACACATCACTATGATGGAGGAAAAAGTAAAATTCAAATGACTCCCAGGCCTCTCTTTCAGATGAGAAAACATATGTAAAAGCACCCGGCAACGTGCAGGGCCTGTAACAAGCACCCAGTAAAGTCTGTAGCTGTTTGTTATTGAAGGCAGGGGGAAGAGAGAAGACCACTGCAACGCTGTTTACCACCACAGCTGTTCCCTGGTCCAAACCGATTGCTAAGGCGCCCCGTAAGAATTCTGCTTCACGAATGCCTGGTGACAACTATGCCCCTGAGAGAGAGCTGAATTCCCAAGTTCCACTTCTTGTTGCAAAAGAGATCAGGTCAAATCAGGTTGAGTTTGCCATGACCTTGGAGCAACGGCTCCCGCGCAACTCCTGACTCAAGGAGTTCTGAGACTGTTCACTGCGCATGCTCAGAAGAAGTCAGCTCACCCAATCACCGCTGTTCGGGAGAGCCAGTACTTTCACCCAGCCGACAGGCCCCTCTGGCCTCAAAGGGAAACCGGAAGGAACTAATAAGCAAGATCTCGCCCCAGGATGAGTCAAGTTCAGACCCCATTCTAGAGACGAGACAGGCTGGTCTTCATCCGCAGACATCAAGGGAGTGGGAGAACTGCTGGCACTGTGGGGACGGATGCTTCTCAAAAAGAGGGCACATGAGAAAGCAGGCCTGTCGCACCCCACACAAGAGCACCCGGGGTCCCAATACCTGGCTGCATCCGATCCTTCGTGTACCAGATTGCCAAGCCATCCCCATGCAGATTCTTCTTCCCTTGTCCGTGGATTTTGAAGTGTACCTGCAACTCCCAGTCTCTCAGGAAGCACGGCTAGGGTGAAAAAGACACTGGAATCAATGAAGAGCATGAAATCTGAAATGCCTCAAGCCCTCATAGCGGTCTAGAGACTTGGAAAACCTAAGTTCAGGTAACACGAGGCGAAGGGTTGAAACTGAAATCTAGGACTTGCTAAGTATTTGTGTCATAAAATTAAACAGGTTGAGCTGTCCAGCTGCATATGATATTTAATATGAAAAGTGAATAAGCCTCCCAATGATCTTCAATATCTCCCATAGAAACAGGACAGTACTCCAAAGTCGGAAAAGACAAGAGACTGCTAAATTATACCGTGATCTTACAGGAAAGCATCTCAGCCTATAGAGTACAGGTGGCTGAATTAACACTCATTTGCAACTTTCAGATCACCCCTCTGACAGATTCTAAAAAGCCTGGATTTCAAGAAAGGTCAAAGCCTCATTCATTACAAAAGAATTAAAAAAAAAAAAAAAAAAGAAAAGAAAAGCTAAGTCATTATGCAAAGGTTTCCAGGAATAATTAGCAGATATATAAACAACTCTAATTAGCTAGAATTGGCCCTATGCCAAGGGCAAGCCAGAATTCCCCAAGAAGGGGTAAGTTACAGTCCCCCAAAACCTCATGCCCATGGCCAAGAAGCATAAATGCACCAAAGGAGAACACCACCATCCCCATCAAAGGGACAGACTCTGGTGGAAAAACATTAAGGAGGTGGGTACTAATCAGACTCCTGTGTTTGTTCTTTGGGGTTTTTTCTTTAACTGTGTATCAAAAGCTTGGAAAAATGGAGAAGGAGGTAAGTGGATGGTTAAGTGCTCCAAATAGCTGAACACTTTCAAGGAGAGAGCAGAGTAGGTATCTGGCTTAGAGAGGTTCCTGATAAAAGGTCACTATGAAGAAAGAAGGGAATGAGGAGCATATAGGCCAACAGGATTCAGCCAGAATCTTTAACAGTTCCAGCTCCTGAGCAACATATTGCTAGATCATTTCTGGGAAATCTTCCAGAAGTGTTAGTATTAGGAACACAAAGTCAAATGAAAGGGGTGAAGTTACTTCTGAATTCACCAAAGAACCCGCAATCTCCGATAGCTTACCCTACCCTGATGAGCCCAGTCCCTGTGTTGTCATTCTGGATTCTCCTCTTTCTACTGTTTCACTTAGATTTCAGGACAAGAAATCCTTCCATGGCAGGAAGCTGCCCCACAGCCAGTGGGTAGGTATTATTGCCCCTGGGATGAGGCCAGGGCCGGAGAGGTTCGCACTGAGCCAAGGGGTGTCTGCCAGTTATCCTTGGCTTCCTCTAGCACAGAGCCATACGCCTTTGCTCAGGGCTGTGTCTCACAGAGCTTCTGAGACTTGGCTGTACATTAGATTCACCTAGGGAGTTTTTAAAAATCCCCATGACCACAGGCATTAACTCCAATGGACAGCCAAATTTGAGAACCACATCCTATTCAAATAACTCAGAAACAACTCCAAAGCTCATTCTGATAGTCAGACAACAACAACAACAAAAATACAGTATCAGAGAATTTGAAAAAGGGCAGGATAACGAGATCCTAAACTAGAACTGCTGCTAAAAGACTTATGTAGAGACAGCTAGCAAGACAGCAACAAAGCATCTAGCCCTGGGGGCGCTTGGGTGGCTCAGTCGTTAAGCGTCTGCCTTCGGTTCAGGTCATGATCCCAGGGTCCTGGGATGGAGCCCTGCATCGGGCTCCCTGCTCCGCGGGAAGCCTGCTTCTCCTTCTCCCCCTCCCCCTGCTTGTGTTCCCTCTCTCGCTGTGTCTCTCTCTGTCAGATAAATAAAATCTTAAAAAAAAAAAAAAGCATCTAGCCCTGGACATAATCACTTACTAACCAGAGACCCCCATCAACAAAACTTATAACAGATGCATAATGCAACAACACACATTTCTGTGACCATTTTAACTTTCCAAAGCTTTTCATGTCTATTGTCTTATTTTCACAATAACCCCAGTGGGCACATAGACGGTATTATGAAGTTCATTTGGCAGATGGAGAAACTGAGCAATGAGAAAATTAAGTAATAGCGAGGGTTCACAGTGGGTCTGTGATACAGCTAGATCTGGAACCCAAGTCTGTCAACTGCCAGCCCTTTTGCCTGTTCCAGCAGAACACACCGCCCTGTACTCAGTCCAAGAATGAGTTCAACACTACAATCTGGGTTAAGAAGCCAGCTTGCGCAAATAGCTCATGTAGACACTTCTCTTACCCCTCTGTTCTGTTAGAATTCTCTGCCACATAAAATGAACAGGGAAAAGAAATTGTTCTCTTTGCTGAGGTTCACTTATCTATGACCGTGAAAAGCTATAAATCAAAAACCATGAAAAAGTTTAGTTCTTAGCTTCTGAGAACCCAAGAGAAAGTATTAAAGGATGCCAAGGTCATTCCCAAAAGTGTTAGAAAGAGTCCTGGAAACCAAAAAGAAAGCATCATCTTACTCTTGTACAAAATCACAGTGCAACCACACCAGGAATACTGCATTCACTTCTTGCCGCCATACCTCAAGGAAGACAATGTAGCTACAAAAGGTCCAGAGAAGGACAAATAAAATGACCAAGGCGCTCAAAGTGGCTTTCACATGAAAATAAAATTTAAAATTAGACTCTTCAAAGTGAAATAACAAGGGCAGATACTGGGATGAAGTTTAGGATAAATTTAAAAGAGCAGTCTTCTACTTTACAAAGTAATTAAATGTGAGTTAAGTTGTTAATCTCCAAGAAGTAATACTACCAGGTCAATCAAGAATTAAAGACATTTCTTTTTTTTTTTAAGATTTTATTTATTTATTTATTTGACAGAGAGAGAGAGAGACAGCGAGAGAGGGAACACAAGCAGGGAGAGTGGGAGAGGGAGAAGCAGGCTTCCCACTGAGCAGGGAGCCCGATGTGGGGCTCAAACCCAGGACCCTGGGATCATGACCAGAGCCGAAGGCAGACGCTCAACTGACTGAGCCACCCAGGCACCCCTAAAGACATTTCAGAAAACACAGGAGCGCCTGGGTGGCTCAGCTGGTTAAGCGTCTGCCTTCAGCTGGGGCCGTGGTCCCAGGGTCCTGTCCCGCATCAGGCTCCCTGCTCGGCGGAGAGCCTTGCTTCTCCCTTTCCCACTGTCGATCCCCCTGCTTGTGCTCTCTCATTCTCTATCAAATAAATAAATAAAATATTTAAAAAAAGATGTTTCAGAAAACACAATCAAAATGGATTATTTGCTATAACTGGAGCAATCGAGAGCATTTCCCTACATATCTGATTTCACTATGAAGGTCATCATATTCTCTGAAATGAAAATCCTTGATCTCCACAGAAGACAGAGCACTGGGGATAAACAGTAAAATAGCCACTGGTAAACTTTTTAGGGCTTTTTGGGTCATCAACACAGGAGGGAGAAAGATTCTTACCACCCGGTTCCACAGGGCACCCTGTTTACTTTGCATATCTGGGGTAAGGCGGATATACTGGGTCATCACCATGGCATTGCCCATCAGATTCCACAGTGAGGAACTGCCTGTGCCCACACCTACGGGGAGGAAGTAGATCAGTTCATACTCTTCAACACCAACCCATTCTGAAACCACTACGGACCCTCCTAAAGCTGGAGTCATCTTTTTCTCCCTTTCACGACACTTGATCTCCTACCTTCTGTCTTTCATAAATCTCAAATCTTTACCATCTTGACAGCTTTCTTTCACAAAGCCCTTCTTAGGTGAAGACCCCAGAGCACTTCAGAGCTATCACTTTATCCATGCCTCAATAACCATAGCTCAGATCCATTCTTCCCATTTTATATGTAAATTTTAGCACCAGAAAAGAAAAAAATTTCCCCAGTTCTACCAAAAAGAGCTTGACTCTCAGGCCTCTGGGGCTTAATCACATTCTTTAAACAATTCAAGTGTGAAGGTACTTCTCCCAGTACGGATAGAGGCTATAAGTCTCTTGCAAGTGAGAATTTTGTGTCTGTACAATCCACAGTAATAGCAGAGGCAGCATGAATGAGGCACTGGATATATCTGCTGAGTGAATAAATGATCACCCTTAGCAGCTTTGCACTTTGAGTTTTTATTTGTCCGCTGTCCCACACTCCAGTGGGGAAACAGACTTGTGTGAGTTAAGCCATCTGCACCGATTTGGTCCTCTCTGTAGCTAACTATATAAATTTTCTGGTCGATAAGCTGTGCCTAAGAGCCTATGAACCCTAAACAGAGCAAAGCTAACCAGCCTCCTTCATCAACAGGGCTCCTGAACTGGAGAACAGGTGTTTGAACCGGCAACAGAATTTTATCTTCTTTCTCAGTCCGGCCAAGTTCTACCCCAGTTCTGCCTCCTGCTTCATTTCTAGCACATCCATAGCTCCATCGGGAGACCGGGTCTTTGCTAGTGGCCTTCAATCACTACCCACCATTTGCAGTTCTATCCCTTCCCACATCCCTCCTGTCCAACTCGAGCTCCTCTTTGTCCAGGCCTAACGCTAGTGGCATCCGAGTCCGGCTTCGATCTGATGGAAAGTTCCAAAACGGGAGCGGGGGGGGGGGGGGGGGCGGGGCGGGGAGAGCTGACCCCTGCCCTTTGGACCCGTGGCTCCCAAACGCGGCGTTCCCCGTGGGTCCCCACCCACCGCCCGCAGTTTCCTTAGGGCCACGAAGCCTTTCGCCACCCCCGGTCTCTACCGCTAAGCTCAGGTCCCGGAGCCCTCCCCGTGCACGACCACCTCGCCCCGGGCGCCTCACCCTGGTAGGGCTTCGACAGCGAATGCTCCCGTTTCAAGTACTCGAACGTTTGACCCGCCCCGACTTGCCGTGGCCCCTGCCCAGACCCCAACAAAAGGAGAAGGAGCAACATCCTGGACCCATTCCGAGCTGACACACGCCGCCGCCACCGCTGCCACCACCCAGAGGGTCCCAGAGTCGCCGCCATCTTTCCCACTGCCGTCCCTTCATTAAAAGCCCGCCCCGTAGCCCAAGCCATTAGCCCAGGGAACCATCTGCCCCGGGTCCCATTGGCTTTCCCCGAGCCCCCGCCCCCGCAGGTGAGCATCTCACCGATTGGCTGGCTTGGGTATCAGTTGCCTTGCCAACCCAGGAAAGGGGCGTGGCCTAATGCCTGGCCTCCCTTATTTGCATTTGTCCTGCGCTCCACTAGGCCTGCTGGGAGACGTAGTGATTTCCATTTTGTCTCTGCGTTCTAGAGTAAATTTTAAAGAGATAAAAATGTTGGGGCGCCTGGGTGGCTCAGTCCTTAAGCGTCCGCCTTTGGCTCAGGTCATGATCCCGGGGTCCTGGGAGTGAGCCCCGCATTGGGCTCCCTGCTCGGCCGGAAGCCTGCTTCTCCCTCACCCGCTCACCCTGCTTGTGTTCCCTCTCTATGTCTCTCCCTGTCAAATAAATAAATAAAATCTTAAAAAAAAAAAAAGATAAAAATGTTTCTCCCAGTTTCACGCAAACGTTCTATCCTCTCTGCCATAGTACCCGCCTGTCTGTGCAGAGCTATCCACCGGATGTAGAACTGAATGGAGAAATAGACAATCCACAATTACTGTAGCTGGACAATTTTCAGGAGAAAATTATCAAATTTCTAAAAGACTTGAACAGAACAAAGAACTTGACCTGATGACATTTATAGAAACTCCACAAAACAACAGCAGAAGACACATTCTCTTGTAGTGCAAAACAAACATGTACCAAGATAGCCTGGGCAAAACCAGGAAAAAAACAAAACAAAAAACAGCTCCACAAATTTAGAAAGAAATGAAAACACACAAAGGATGTTCTCCTATCATGACGGAATTAGACTAGAAATAGACAACCGAAAGATTTCTGAGGGGCACCTGGGTGGCTCAGTCCTTAAGTGTCTGCCTTGGGCTCAGGTCATGATCCCAGGGCCCTGGGATCGAGCCCAGCATCGGGCTCCCTGCTCCACGGGAAGCCTGCTTCTCCCTCTCCCACTCCCCCTGCTTGGGGGGAATGGGCTGGGGAAAAGGGCTGTGTCTCTCTCTGTCAAATAAATAAATAAAATCTTAAAAAAAAAAAAAAAAAGCTCCACAAATTTAAAAGAAATGAAAGCACACGAAGGATGTTCTCCTATCATGATGGAATTAGACTAGAAACTGACAACGGAAAGATTTCTGAGAAATCCCCCAAATATTTGGAAATTAAACTCACTTCTAAATAACCCATAAAGGAGTAGGAAGTGCTGAACGACTGCAGGGATTCTTCTAAGAAATGGAACAGGGTTACCCATCCTTTACCTGGATGGCACAGTAATACACACAGAAGAGTGTGACACCAAAAGAGTGAGAGTCATCCCAGCTTCCCACCTTTTCCCCACCAGTTTCATCACCCAATCAATCAATAATCAAGTCCTGATGATGTTATTCCTAATCATTTCTCAATGCCATCACATCCTTTCCATCACTTGCTTTGTCTTTCTCCCAAACCATAACACGTGTCCCACCTGTCACTCTGATCACCATCATCCACACAGCCACCCACGGGATCTAAACCATCTAACCACACCATTTCCTGAGTGTCAGGGGTAAATGAGTTGATATTGGCAAAGCTGTTAAATAGTGGCTGGCATGTAGGAAGCACTATATCGTCATCATTATTATTATTAACCGAGCCCTTGATGGTTGCCATCACCTGTGGGGAAGAGATTCAAGCCCCTCAACTTGGCATACAAAGCCCTCTGCCACCTGGTCCTGGCCCTTCTCTGGCTTTATTGCCCACAGCTTCCTTTCTTCATCTATATGCTCCAGCTTTCCCTCTTCTCTCCTTCTCCCCAGCCCACTTCCTCCTGGAGGCCTTCCCTGACCTCCTCAGGCAGTGGCAGTTGCCCCACTCTGAGCTCTCAATGTTGCCCAAGCACATTTCTTACACAGCTCTAGCCAGGTCTGTGTCTGTCTTCCCAACAGGCTTAACCAAACTTAATTCTCTCTTTCCTGAACATAAATATATTTAATAACAGAAAAATGAAAGTAAGCCTGTTTTATGAGTGATCAACATTTTTATATGAAAACTGTTGGGGCACCTGGGTGGCTCAGTCAATTGAGCACCTGCCTTGGGCTCAGGTCATGGTCCTAGGGTCCTGGGATGGAGCCCCATTGGGCTCCCTGCTCAGTGGGGAGTCTGCTTCTCCCTCCTCCCCCTACCCTGTGCTCTCTCTCAAGTAAATAAATATTTAAAATAAATAAGTAAATAAATAAATAAAAACAAAATGAAAAACTGTCACAACCATATGGCACCTGGCTGGCTCAATTGGGGGAGCATGTGACTCTTGATCTCAGGGTTGTGAGTTCAAGCCCCACATTGGATGTAGAGGTTACTTAAAAATAAAATCTAAAAAAAATTTAAAAATAAACAAACTGTCACAACTACTGATCATTTATGCACTCCACACAAAGTAGATGTTTAGTGATACAACATAAGAAATTGCAATGAATCTATTCACATCATACCTTAGCTTTTAAACCATTCGTGGATCCCAATTACCATAGGATAAAATCCAAACGCCTTAGTGTAGCATTCAAAGCCCTTCAACCTGACTCAAATCAGGCTGTACACATGTCTATTACAATGTGTGTCACCCTGAATTATGTAGCTCAATTAACAGATTATGTGTTTGTCTCCCTGGCAAGGCTGGAAGCTCCTGGACCACAAGAAGCAGATCTTACTCATTTCCTATCCCAGGCCTCACCTACTTCCCCATTCCCTAACCCATCACCCAGCACATAGTAGGAGTCCTAATTGTTTTAAATAAAATTATTTCCATTATATTTCTCTGTCAGCTGGAATTTTTTTATTGTGGTAAATATACATAAAATCAAATTTACCATTTTAACCATTTTTAAGTATATAGTTCATAGGCATTAAATACATTCACGTTGCTGTATGACCTGTCAACTTGATTTTGGATAGTATCTCATCATACCTCATTGTAAAATTCACTGTAATGAAGAAAAGGGGGACAAAGGAGAGGGTGTGACAGACAAAATACACAGGACAATAAATCAGATGATTTTGTTCAGATTGTTGCAATAGGCGGAATGCTCATTAGTGAAGAAAGTATCAAAGAGAAGGAAGTGGGGGGGCGCCTGGGTGGCTCAGTTGGTTAAGCATCTGCCTTCAGCTCAGGTCATGATCTCAGGGTCCAGGGATCGAGCCCCGTGTCTCCCTGCTCAGCGGAGAGTCTGCTTCTTCCTCTCCCTCTGCCCCTCCCCCCCATGCTCGCTCCCTCTCAAATAAATAAATAAAATCTTAAAAAAAAAAAAAAAGAAAAGGAAGGGGACCTGGTGTTACATAGAGGCAGGTAAACAAGGGAGTCGTCATGAAGGAGGATGGAGATGGTTTTATCCGAGTCACTGAGGAAGGGCAAAAGTGGGTCTTATCTCAGAATATTCTAGAGCAGGATAGTCCTTTGAAGTTAGCCATTTCTCAGAACTGAAAATGGGGTGAGAGGGGACACAAAACGGTGAGGGGATTTCTTGACTGTAGCTGTACTCCAGAAGTACAGGGTTCATATAAAGTTGAACACTGTTAAGGTCTTGAGGGTGTACAGGGAAAGAGAAAAAGGAGCCAAGTCCTCCCCCCGCACCGCCCTATACACACATAGAAGCACCTTCGGATAGTTAGGTCAGGTCTTGACCCACCATCTTCCAGCAGCTTAATATTCTCTTTTTCTCCAGAGAATCATTTCCCATGATCTAAGGCTATACACCTCCAGGGTGGGAGCATTCATAGACCATATGAGTTGTGCATTCCAGCAGTTCTGGATGATTCCTCTAGTTTCTTGTCTTCAAAGCCAAACAGGTACCTCCACTTAGGAGCACCTTGAAGCCTGATGCCCCAATGCACCCCATGCCAGAGGCTGCAAGGCAGCCTCTTGGACCCATCCTTTCCTCTCCCTTTGCCCTTCACTTCTAAACCTTGCCATTCCATTTAAATCCACCCTCACCCCAAACTTAGGACCCAAAGCAGGGCCTAACATCAGCCCTCCCAAAGCCAGGTAGACCATTTTTCCTCCTCAGAGGTCTGGATTAGGATTTGGGATTAGGTCCATCATCAGCCCTAGAGTGGCAGCTAACCCGGCCCCACCTCAGCCCCTGCAACACTCTCCCCACCCTTCGACCCCCCTGCGCCTCCAGTTCTCCAAGCAGACCCTAGTGCACAGAAGGGGACAGGAGCTCTAACACTAACTAGCCAATTACTTTCCAGTGGCAATTTACAAATTCTGGCCTCCCAACAAGCCACAGTTGAATAGCCTGGAGTGCTTGGGGCACGCGGATGCCTGGGTCCCACTCCCAAACACCTGATTCATAAATCTGGGGTAGGGCCCAGGGATTTGGGTTTGAAAATCTCTCCCCAGAGAATGTGATATGCAACCAACGTCCAGAACCACAATGCTTTCACATCCAGTATCTCATTTTGACCTCTCATTGACCTGGCGCGGTGGGCAAGAGAGACATTACCACACTTCTTTTTTTTTTTTAAGATTTTATTTATTTATT